ATGCCTTCTGAATCAGCATGTTTTGATGACCCTAGATCATCAGGTCAACCAAGGAAGCTAGTCCAAAAGATGGTCAGGGAGCTCATACTTGGTGGAACTCAAGACATACTGACGGTTTATTCTATATATATATTTATATAACCGAGACATTATAATAGATGTAGTAGAACTTGCCAAACAATATAGATGATAACCCATGGTTGAAATTATACCTTATAAGATCCGATATATCCTGCTTTAACCAAAGTGTTTGAGATCTCCCAATACCTGTCAACCTCCTGACAAATTGTTCCAATTTACCATAAGCTACTCTTTGTGATTCAGCTCTAGTCAATCACAAAATATTTAATCTCCTCAAAAAGAAAAAGAAAATAAGAGAAAGATGACAATGCCTTACTTGTAAACATATAATATCTGGGTCCAAAGCAAAGAGTTCTTTACAAATAACTCTCTTACGATGATTCCACTTCAGGTACTGAGAAGGAACATTTAAGTATAAATCTCTGTGCTCATAAGCATTTCTATCCGCCAGTACGTTATAAGATACCACGGTGAATCTTTCTGGAACACGTAAGTTCCCCACATACGACAAAGCCAATGAAACAAGAGAGACATTAAAACCCAAAGACGCATAGCCTATACTTACTACGAATAATATAGATCATGCTTGACAAATAAAAAGTCATTCTTCCAGCCTATGCCCTTCGAGAAACAAAAAAAGCTGAATTCAAAACTGTTGTTAGGTGAAGATTTTTTCTCCAAACTATGCAACGAAAGAAGAGGGAAAGTAGGAAAACCGGTAGATGCTAGTGCTTCATGATCGGCTTCAACCCAATGGCGTTCAATTCCAGGAGCCGGCTCGAAATTTCTCCGTCTTAGAGGATTATACCATCGTCGAGTGTAAGAGCGAGTAGATGGTGATGAAGATGAAGATGAATCAATGAAACCACTGGAGCAGCTTGGGAAAACGGTGACCTTCTTACAGGAGACGGAGAAGAGAAAGGAATGGCGCTTGAGGGAAACTGAGGTAGCAGTGGGAGAGCGAACACTAAGCCATGAAGAGCAATCGCGAGAGGCCATCATCACCATGAAAAACGAATTGATAAGAGCAGATAGCGGTTACAGCTAACCAGGCTTAGCGCCACTGTCTGTTATCCAGTTCCCAACATAAACTAAAAGGAATATCCACAGAGAAGGACCGTTGAAGCCGAAGAACTACTCCCTCAACACCTAACCAAAAGCCGTAAATTGAAATACTGGTTAAAATTAATTAAAAATAATAAATAGGTATTTTTTTATAGGAAAAATCTTTAAAAAATAACTGTTGAATTTCAAAATTCTAAATCATTATTGACTATTGCACTTGTAAACAAAATTACTATAGTCAAAAGTAAATAACAACACATTTTTGTAGTAATTCCTGATTTGTCATTTTAAAATTCAACTGTTATTTTTTTAGAATTTTTCCTTATTTATATTCTAAATATAAAAAAAGACGAAAGGGACATATAATTAATAAAAAATATTAACACAAAGTGTTACTTACATATGGTAACAAAATATTCTGGCAGCAAGGTCACCATATTTTAGTTGTTAACATTTTCTTTTTAAAAAAATATAATTTAGTTTAAATGCAAAATAAATTAATTACCATGTGAGGCTAATGAATTTCAGTAGTAGGGTTATCATACGAATTATATACAGTAGCTTTACTTTTAATTCCCAAAATTAATTAGCCCAAATCTGAAGTGAGTGAATTTTTAAGTGAGGTTAGTGCATTTCAATAATAAAATTATGCAAACTTTACACCCGCCTTACATTTTTTAATAATTTTATGCTTAGTTACCCAAAATAATGCAATTAGAAATAACTCAATTTCTAAAGTTATTTTAATCATTTTAAATAATGGTGTTAGATAAACTTTATACCTATGGTATGTTTTTCCAATTGTGATGTTACGCGAGTTGTTGGAACTAAAAACAAAATTATTGAAAATATTTAAGATGCGTATAAAAGTTGCATCACTTTGCTGTGAAAAAAATATAGATACTTAGTTGGATGAAAATAAATAAAAAAGTAATTCTAGGAGGGTAAATCTCAAATTTTTTAAAGTTTTTTTTTTTCATAGTATTATCTCTTATTTTTCTCCCAATTCAAACCAAGTCCAAGTTCACCTAAAAAACTCATCTGTTTTAGATATAGTGTAAATTTTTCCAAGATTTAACACATACTTAAACAAAATCTCCTGATTTTGAAGTTAAAAAAAAAAAAAAAAAAAGGCCGGACTTGAGTATTAGTACATCAATATTCAATACTACTATATAATTTTAGTTTGGGGTCAAAGTGTTTCAAATAAAGAATCAAACATACTTAAAAATGAAAAGTGATTACTTGATTATTTTTATGTAAATTTATATTACATCCAGCTCTTAATATAAGAACTAGTTGACTAATTTAAGTATATTAAAGAAATTAGTTAAACGAGTTATTTGTAATAAATATGTATTATTTTTTAAAAATATCTTTGCTAATCAAGTGTATTGGCTAGAACTATTACAAAAACTATTTTAATAAATAAATAAATATGAGAGACAAAATATATTGGGGTCTTATATTTAAAACCAAAATAAAAGTCAAACAAACTACTCCCTCCGTTCCTTATTATAAGAGACGAATAACCGAATTACGTCGATCAAAAAAACAGTTAAAATTAGTTAAAAACAATCAATGTGTAAAAAGTATAATTTTTTTTTCAAAAATACCCTCATTAATAAGGAGAGAGAATATAAGGGAGAATAATAGTAAATTATTAAAAGAAAGAGGAGTGGGAAGGAGAGAGAGTATGAGTTGGAGACAATAAATATGGGTAAATAGGATAGGAAATCAACACAAAAGTAAAGACAACTTTTAAATGTCTCTTATATATAGGAACATGCCTAAGCATCAAATGTCTCTTATAATAAGAAACGGAGGGAGTGTATTTATTAAGAACCGGAGGTATAGTACTACCACTACTTCTTCTTAATATAAGACTTAATTGTTGAGTATTTATTAATGTTTTTTAAATTATCCATATGGATACTCTCTCAACCATAATCAAATAAAAAAAGAAAGGAGGATATTAAAAAAGATGATTATAATGTTTTAGGAAAAACATGTTATATTTTTTATAATTAACTAACTTAATTTCTTTAATCCAATCAAATTAGTTAAATAGATCTTATATTAAGGACCAGAGAAGTGTTATTAAAGACCAAGATCCTTAACTCAAAATTTGAAATTTTGTTATCTCAAACACGAAGTGAAAAACTTTTTTTTTTTTTTTTGCCAAAAGTGAAAAACTAAATTGACGTATTGGTTTCCAGCGTGATCGTTTCCTGTAATTAGAGGGTTGTGGCTTAACGCTTTGCTTCTGGGATTGGGCTTGGATGAACAAAGTCTTGAGCCCACGTCATCCATCTTATTGATTTCATTGAAGAGTCTCTGTGTAGCCCAATTGAATTTCAATTGCCGCAAAGATCTCGTGATCCAATTGATGAATTGAAAACTTTCGGATCCACTGCTTTTAATGCACAATTGAAGACTTTCATGTCAGATAACGTTGAATCGAATTCCTTCCACTAAATCTAATCTTGTTATTTTTTTTTGAAAATTTTTTTAAAAAATGACTGTTGAATTTTAAAGTTTCCAATCAAAAGTTACTACAAAAATATATTATCATTTGTTTTTCGAGCGTAATCATTTTTACGAGTGCAGTAATCAATACTAATTTGAAATTTTAAAATTCAACAGTTTTTTGTTGTTGTTGAGATGTTCTCTTTTTTCTTTTTCTCTGTATAGTACAATTAAACACATGTACACATATAAACGTATCAACCCTATATTTAAATTTGAAATCTAGTCCAAATATAGTAAGTGCCATTGCCGTTAAAATAAGTTGCTGGTTATATCACAAGAAATTATATCACTATGCATGCAACCGCTCAAGAAGTGAAGATTTGATGTGATTAGTGAAAGAAATCGACGGTTCTTTTTATAAGCATACGTAATCAACCTTATGCAAACAAAAATGATTAGTATAAATAATTAATTTATTGCAAAATGTCAAAAAATTGCTAATAAAAATCGTTAGCTAAAAGACTTTATTTAATTATAATTATAAATAAAAAATCAATACTTTAGACAAAAATGTTTACGTCAAAAAAAAACAGAATGTTCTTATAATAGAGGTGTTTTTTTCCCTTTTTTTTTTTTTTCATTGCATAGAGTCACATTATGTTAGAGAAAGGCCCACGGGAAAATGCAGCTGCAACAATTAAATCCATAAAGGTAGTTGCAATCACAAATATTGTTCATTTGTTCATATCCAACTATACTCTTTTGTTGTTTCACCAAATCTTGCACCAGCCATGTTCATTATTAATGTCTTTTCTTTCTTGGTGAAATTCATTATTCACATTTAATTCTTTTTTTATTTCCGGTACATATTCATATCATTCAAATAGCTAATTAACTAATTTAAGTATATTAAAAAATTAGTTCAATTAGTTATTTGTACTAAAATAGGTGTTGTATTTTTTTAAAATATCATTTTTAATCAAGTATATTTACTAGAATTATGTGTAATGAAATAATTTTTAACATGAACAATTACTATAAGAAATACCTTAAAAAAATAAATAATTATAATAGATAAAATGAATTAATTATGTTATTTTAAAAACTGTATTAAACATTAAAATAGCTTTTAAGTTGGGAGTTCTTAAGCTTGGACTGCGTCAACTAGGGACTCTTCAAGCAGCGAGCATGGGGCTTTGTAACTGTTGCTACAAGTCTGTCTCTAGCCCGACCCATTCTCGGCAACACTGACAAAGTGACAACTTTTGTTGAAATAAAATTTTACTATCAATATTATATAAGAATCATATTCACAGTCTTCGTCGTGTGAAAGTGAAAAATATCCTCCATTCACGCTCTCCCCATCTTGACATGATCTTTTTGAAAATTGAGAGCTAAACTAATAAAAGCCAACACCCACTGCTAGCTACTTCCATTATCATATTCCCTCTTCCTCTCTGTTTTATCTTTTAGGTTTCTCACCCAAAAATGGCTCTCAACTCTCTCTTCGTCCTCTTCACTCTGTCCATTTCCTTCTTCGTTCTTCATTTTCCTTCAGCTTCCTCACGCACTGTACCATCTGAAACTGACGATTTTGCTACTACTGAGCTTGATGTCTCTTCCTCTCTTCACCGAACCAACCAAGTTCTCTCCTTCATCTCAGGATTTCTTGAAGAAGAAACATACAGTACCCCCAGGTTCTCCTCTTCTTCTTCATTCTCTGTCCAGTTACACCCTAGAGATTCTCTGGTTAATTCGCAGCACCAGGACTACAAGAGCTTGGTCCTGGCCCGACTCGCCCGTGACTCAGCTCGAGTCAAATCCATCACCACCAAGCTCCGGCTCGCCCTGAACCAAGCTGACAGGTCCGATCTGTACCCGACCGAATCCGAGATCCTGCCTGAAGATCTATCCACGCCGGTTTCGTCTGGCACCAAGTTAGGCAGCGGCGAGTACTTCACCAGAGTCGGCGTGGGTTACCCGCCGAAGCCTTTCTTCATGGTTCTCGACACCGGGAGCGACGTGAACTGGATCCAATGTAAGCCCTGTACGGACTGCTACAACCAAACCGACCCGGTTTTCGACCCGGCTGCTTCATCTTCGTACAGTCCTCTCACCTGTAGCTCGCCGCAATGCCAGCAACTCGAAACGTCTGCTTGTCGGAGCAACAAGTGTCTCTATCAGGTTTCCTACGGTGACGGCTCTTTCACAGTCGGAGACTATATGACGGAAACGGTGTCGTTTGGCAAATCCGGGTCAGTGAATCGCGTTGCTATTGGTTGTGGCCACGACAATGAGGGGTTGTTCGTCGGAGCCGCCGGGTTGATTGGCCTTGGCGGTGGTCCTCTGTCGCTTACATCTCAGATCAAAGCAACGTCGTTCTCCTACTGCTTGGTTGACCGCGATACGGACAGATCGTCGACTCTTGAGTTCAACTCGCCCAGACCCTATGACTCAGTAACCGCCCCGTTACGGAAAAGCCAAAAGCTCGATTCATTTTACTACGTTGAACTCATCGGGGTTAGTGTCGGAGGTAAAACAGTCCGTATCCCTCCGTCTACATTCGCTTTGGACCAATCAGGAAGCGGCGGAATAATCGTCGACTCAGGCACCGCCATAACTCGGCTCCAGTCTGATGCCTACAACGCGGTCCGTGACGCGTTCGTGAAACTGACTCGGAACCTGAAACCCGCCAGCGGGTTTGCTCTGTTCGACACATGCTACGACTTGTCGTCGCTGAACTCAGTGAAAGTGCCGACCGTGTCGTTTCAGTTCAGTAGTGGTAAGTCGTTAGAGTTGCCAGCGAAGAACTACTTGATTCCGGTGGACTCAAAGGGGACATTCTGCTTCGCCTTTGCTCCGTCGTCGTCGTCTCTGTCGATCATCGGAAACGTGCAGCAACAAGGGACACGTGTCACCTTCGATCTCTGGCTAACTCTGTAGTGGGTTTCTCAACCAATAAATGTTAATTGCCTATTTAGGAATTTTCGATAAAAGCCTGTTTATTAATGGCGGAAAGCAAGAAAATTAGGTATGTTCTGGATTTTGGATTTGCTGCGTCTGAATTGGGAACCCTTCGCGGGTAAGAAGGAATCTTTGTATTTTGGTTCGAGTGAATTGAAATTTGGAAAAGAAAACATATTATGACATTTGAGATGTGTGAGTCAGTGGCATGAATGGTAAATTTGAGTAATTTTGGAACCTATTACAGTACATGTACGGCCAAAATGCAGTGATGTGATCGAATGTATGTGTCGTGGCCGACCACGATAGAATTATTTGAGCCAAGACCGACACAGGGCGAGTTATCAAGATGATCTCGTGTCTCGATTCGCTGAATAATCCGCCAATCCAGTAATAAGTTTGCATATAAATAATTGAAAAATTACGATTTTTTTTAAATTGTAAAAAAAAAAAATTATAATGAGTGGATGCTTGAATGATGAGTTTATTGTTGATATTAGTCTTGCTACCCACTCCTTATTGGAAGTGTTTAGTTATTACTAATTCTCAGTTTTAATTAATATAAGATCTTATTGAAAATATAATTTGATTTTTAATATAAGATACTAATTTAATTTATTTTTAATATTTATCCATTTTATGAAGTTTTTAAATTAATATACAAGTGGTATAATTTTATCTTATTAATTTTTTATATTTTTATTGAGTATTTGTAATTCTTTTAGTTACGACATTAATGCCTACATTTATATTTTGTCAATTTACATATCATTTAGTCAGTATTTCTATCAATCTTAATTAAAAAATTATCTATATATAGACGAATATATTTTTTAAAAAAAATTACGACAACCTGATTGAAAAAAGACTAAAATGATAAAAATAATAAATTAATTTTTCGTCGGCGAAACAAATGAATTAGTTTTTCTAAATATTTATTCTAGTTTAACGAGATACGGCATGTACTTTTTATCGTCAAGATTATGATGCTGTCGGCTGATGTGATATTAAGTAGTACTGCCACTCTTGTAATTTGATTAAAGTTTTGGAAAAATAAAAAAAATACTCATTAAAATTAAAAAAAAAAAACAAAAAGGTGATCCAAATAAATAAATGACCAAATAGATATAAGGTATGAATTTAGAATTTGCAGCTTTTAGTTAAATGATTAATACGATCCTAGAGTAAGATAAAGAAAACGATTGAATATTTTCACATATTAACACGATTAAAATAGATTACAAAACTCATTACATAAATGGTCACTTTCATTTTGTAAGTTGTTATTCTCATTATATATTTAGTAAAATTGTGGATAAAAGCATTAAAAATAATTGCAAATAAATGAGTTACAAATCCCTTAATGTAAATGGCAACTTTTGTTACGCAAGTTGTGATTCTTTTTACTTGTTTTGTAAAAATGTCTACAAATAGCTTATAACAAATTGTAAAACTCTTTATATAAATGGTCACTTTTATTTTATAAGTTATTATTTTCGTTATATGTTTAGTAAAATTATATACAAATAAATTAAAAATGGTTACAAATAAAGAGATTGTGAAACACATTATGAAAATTGGTATATTCATCTTGAAAATAGTTAATCACTTCACAAATGCTATTAAAAGCTACCTTCATTATAATGAAACCTAAAGGAAAACTAAATCCAAGTTCCTCAAGTCATCAAAAATGGTTCTTCGAAATCACATTGCCCTTGTCGCGGGAGTAGATTGTAGTCGTTGAAGTTGGTTACTGTCATTGAAATACATTGTCCTGTCTAAAATAACTTGTACTCTTTGAGATTGCCGTCGTCGAGGAGGTCGTTGAAGTAACACCAACTATGATAAACAAATAGGAAGCTTAATATTGTTCTTCATAAATATTTTCGATGGGTCCCGAAAGCTTAAAATGTTATTGTCTAGCATTCTTCTTCTAGTTCTATCTCTGCTCTTTGCATAAAATTGTTTTCAGAGAATATGAAACTGCCTGATTTTCTAGTATTATAAACCATTTGTCCTGAATTTTAAAAAACACATATTGGGATTTACAACTTTTGTAGTGAAAGTAACCACTTTGTTAATCAATTTTGCAACATGCTTTCAGGAGATGTGCAACTTGTTTCTAAAAACCAATAAATTCTATGCTAAATTTGACAAAACAAATAGTGGGGTCTACAACTTTCGTGGTGAAAATGATCATTTTTTCAATGGGTTTTGCAACCTGTTTTCAGGGGATGGCAATTTGTTTCTAAAAACAATAAAATTCCACGTTGAATTTTACAAAACACATAGTAAGGTTTATAACTTTAATAGTGAAAATGACAACTTCTTCAATGGGTTTTGTAACCTGTTTTCAGGAGATGGGCAACTTGTTTCTAAAAACCAACAAAATTTCACACTGAATTTTACAAAATATAATGAGATTTACAACTTTCACAGTGAAAGTGACTGCTTTGTTAATGGGTTTTACGACCTATTTTTGGGAGATAGGTAACCTGTTTTTTACTACAAATAAAATTTTACGCTGAATTTTACAAAACACATAGTGGGATTTATAACTTTCATAGTGAAAGTGACCACTTCTTCAATGGATTTTGTAAACCTGTTTTTACCAGATGAGCAACTTGTAAGTATAAATAAATCATTTAGTGGATGTACGCCTGAAGTACATCACAGTAAATATTGAACCATTAGCTTTTATAATTAACTACATGTGCAATGAAATATACCATTCACGTAATGTATTTTACCAAAAACCAATAGACATATGACAACAGTTACTTTACATAATTGCTTGCTATCATTTTTTGATTTTTGTTACATTATTCACCAAATGTCAAATATAAACCCTCAAACCCAATAATCTTGTCCCATGAAGCAACTACAAAAATGAACAACTCAAACCCCACCATCAACTTCTACTCACTTACGGAATCTCACATGTTCATTTCCTCTCTTCTTCTCTCTGTCTCTTCCCTGTTTTTTCTTTGCTTCTTCTCTAAACTTCATTTATCTCTCTCTCCCCCTTATAGTGTTGGTGATGAGATTGAGAAGGGAAGATGAAAGACAAGAGGTATCAAGTCTCAAACCCCAAGCATAATGAAATATTCATTAAGAACATACCAAAACGTCATAGGAGAGACTGCATTTTCTTCTTCTTCATCAAACCCTTTGACAGTTCATGCCTAGCCTCCAGTTCTGCCGCCCTTCAAAGAAGAAGAAACCTGAAGAGAGAAAAATCGCTCTCTGAACATAAAATGAAAGAGAAGACAAAAAAGGATGAGAAAAAGGGCATTGAGGTAATTTGTTAAAATTTGTAAATCCCAATTTGATACCAATAGACCTATTTATTCTTTGTGAAATTAGAATGACTAATCTGAAATTTCAAAATTCAAATGGTATTTATATGGGATTTTCCCTAAAGTTTTTTGGAAAAATGGCAAAAAAAAATATTGAAATAAAAAAATTGTAAATAAGGACCCATAACAATATTAGCACATACTTTGACACTAATAATATGGGTTTTGACAATATTTATAAACCGGTCTTTATGTGTCATTTTTCTATTTCGATGATTTTTTTGGCCATTTCTCTCTCTTTTTTTTTAAAGAGTCATAGCATTTTGTATGAAAAGTTTTATGAAGTGAGAGGCCGTTTACCCACTTTAATTACTAACTTCTAGCTAAATAGTGCTACCACTCTATTAATCTATTCAATAGATTTCACTTCAATAAGACATAAATGACAATGACAAAAAGAAATGGATTCTTGTCAAACAAAAAAAAAACGGATTCTTATATTTTAAGTTCCTAAATCTCTGCTCTGCCTTTCTTTTTAATTAAAAAAGGGTTTGCTAAATCTCAGCGGAAAAAAAAAGGGAAAAATTAACAATGTGCCGGCTTTTTTCTTTTTCTCGGGACCTTCTTAAAATCACGCGTAATGCCGTGTTGCCGTCCATTCTTCAGTGAAAGTTAAAGGCACTACAGAAAAGGCGGTAATGAGCCCCTTTTATTTGGCCAAAAGTAATGAAACATTTTTTTTTTAAATATTATGACATGAAGTATATTATTTAAATCAAGGGAAACTCTCTGACTAAAATGAATTAGGGACTATAAGTAAATTAAATAGTTTTCACTTTGTTATAAAAATCAAGAAAATATCTCTAACAACTCTTTACCATATATTCACAATAAAAGCTTAACTAAGTTTAGCTTCAATAATTTATGACACAATATTCCACATATGGCCCTGTTTGGAATATGTTGGTACTGGCATGGTCCATTTCATGATTTTTAGCACAAGGATTTTCAGTAATTTTAAGACTATATAATACCACTTTTTCATGAGATTACTCAGCATCACAACCACCCCTATTACTGTTAAGTCAATCCCAGCTCAGGATTGAACATTTTCTAACAAACACATATTCTTTTTCAGCTTTTTGGAATGATTTAAAATTTTTTTATAGAATACGAGATAAAAATACGATGAGAGTTTTTTTTTTCAATTTACATGAACATAGTTATAAGTGTTTATAAATCAAGATTTAAACAAGATAATGTCTTCATATCTTCATCCTCCTTCACTCAGTCTTGAGCCAATAGCAAGCTTGCAAGTCTGTTCAAGATTCAAACTAGATGAAGTGGTAGATCCGAATCAGATATAAGATCCGTTTAGAATAGTTTGTAATAATTTTTTAATCATGATTTATAAATATGAAATAAGATGTAGTTTTTATTTCGATTTATATAAGATGTGCTTATCAATAATTTCTACTTTTCTAGCACTCTGCCAAACAAGCCCATACATGTTTCTCCTCCCTAATCGCCAGGTTGTGAATCCGTTTTTCCTTTGTTTGAGTTTGTTGTTCTCCTTCTGTGTTTGTGAATTCGTTTATGTTCTTTTGGTTTTGCATTTCTAGGTGCTTGCTGATGAGGAGACAACGATGAAGGAGCCAAGTCGCCAACAATGATATAGGGCTGCTGCTTTTAAAAGAAAGAAGATAGGGGCTTTTCAGTAATTTTAAGACTATATAATACCACTTTTTCATGAGATTACTCAGCATCACAACCACCCCTATTACTGTTAAGTCAATCCCAGCTCAGGATTGAACATTTTCTAAAAACACATATTCTTTTTCAGCTTTTTGGAATGATTTAAAATTTTTTTATAGAATACGAGATAAAAATACGATGAGAGTTTTTTTTTTCAATTTACATGAACATAGTTATAAGTTAAACAAGATAATGTCTTCATATCTTCATCCTCCTTACTCAGTCTTGAGCCAATAGCAAGCTTGCAAGTCTGTTCAAGATTCAAACTAGATGAAGTGGTAGATCCGAATCAGATATAAGATCCGTTTAGAATAGTTTGTAAATAATTTTTTAATCATGATTTATAAAATATGAAATAAGCATGTAAGATGAGTTTTATTTCGATTTATATAAGATGTGCTTATCAATAATTTCTACTTTTCTAGCACTCTGCCAAACAAGCCCATACATGTTCTCCTCCCTAATCGCCAGGTTGTGAATCCGTTGTCCTTTGTTTGAGTTTGTTGTTTCTTCTGTGTTTGTGAATTCGGTTATGTTCTTTTGGTTTTGCATTTCTAGGTGCTTGCTGATGAGGAGACAACGATGAAGGAGCCAAGTCGCCAACAATGATATAGGGCTGCTGCTTTTAAAAGAAAAGAAGATAGGGGCAATTGGATCCTTTAGTTCATTTTTGTTTGACTTGAACCTTACTCTTTTGTTTTTTAAATCCATCACATATCAAACATAATTTTAAAACTAATTTACCCCCTCAATTTCATGTTCAATCTCATTTTACACCAAAAAAAAAAAACTATTGGCAATAACTTAATTTTTCCTGCGATGCATTTGGTTTCGAACGAATCACAAGGATTCTAATATATAAAAATTAAGTGAAAAGTTTCTCACATGTTTGAAATCCAAGTGATTTGTAAGCTAAAAGATTAGCCAATGAACTATATTCCAATGACTTGATTTCAAAGATTTGTTCAACACAAAAAACTTGATTTCAAAGAAACTATTAATAATTAATTTTCTTATATTTTCCCAAATATAAACCAACTTCATTTCACCCATTGGATATCATTAGTTAACCAAAAGTAAACATGTTACAATGATATACCAAAGCACAACCAAAATGATATTTGGGGACATGAATAAAATAATAATGGTCCAGATTGACGAGTAGATTCTGTTCACATGCAGGAATAAATTAAGGGAAACAGGCAATGATTTGGGCAATATTATACAAATATGGGGAAGGCATGAAGACAAAGAATTCACGTGCATGCAGGAGAAAATTAGGCACTAGGATCAGAAGACCCATCAATCACGCCATTGATGGAAAAGGACAGTTAGGTCAACCACAAAAGCTTCAGGAACTTCCAAATAGCTGTTTGTCACTTTGGAAAATTGATTCACATGTCAGGCCTTAAATTCTGCAGTTTTTTCCTCACTCGTTCCTTGTTGGCTTGCAAAATTCTTTGGGTCAATAAAATTTTTTCGTGTTCGTTTCTTAAATTTTAAACCCATTCATAATTTTAATTTCTGAAATTTAGACGGTCTTAATTTAGAGATATAAATATCAAAGTGATGGTTTGAACTTCCTTACCAAAAAAAAAAAGTGATGGTTTGAACTCGTCAGATGATACTTGGCTGCATATTGTCTGGATGGATAACTGGAAAAAAGAAAAAAAAGTAAAGCAATGCAAAGAATGATTATAGAGAGGAAAATGAGTTTTTAAAATACAGCACATTGAACGAACTCTTCAAACAAACAATAAAGAAAAAAGAAGGCTAAACAGTTGCATTGTGAGAACACAAGATCGAATCAGATATCATTTGATAAATCCACATCACTACTTTAACGCTGTCTAAGACACTTTGGCAAATTTTATACTTTCAGGAACTAATGTTGAACTCAATTTTAACGACTAAAATCACGAGTTTAAAATTTTAAAAAAACAAAACTAAAATAAACCAAAATTTTAAAGATAAAAAATTATATCAATCTAAATTCTTTTCATTTCTCGAAAAAAAATTGTTCTAACCACTAATTGAGTTGTTAATATGTTTGACGTTGACAGTTCTATCATGGAAAGCAACGAGTCCTTAATCAACATTACATCATAGTGAAATGTTACTTTCGGTCCTAATTATAAGATCTAGTTAATTAATTTGAAGAAATTAAAAAAATAAGTTAAGTTAGTTATTTGTAATAAACATGTTGTATTTTCTAAAATATCTTTACTAATTAAGTGTATTGGCTAGAACTATTATTATTACAATAATTACCTTGAAAAAAATACATAAATATAAGAGATAAAGTGAATTGTGGTCTTATATTTAGGATCAAAATAAAAATTAAACAAGGTCTTATATTAAAAATCAAAGGTAGTAAAAAGTTTATTAATTAAAATTAGAATAAAAAAATCAAATGAATATTATATAATAACAAGTTTTAATAAAAATATATGCTACTTACTCATATAGTTATTATTTATTAAATTGTTTGCGTGAGACTACACAATGATTTTCCCTTTTTTAAAATTTCAATTTAGATCCAAAACTTTATGGGAAAATGGCAAAAAAAAACCTCTCAATATATGAAATTGCGATTTGGAACTCTTAATTTGGAAAATGACAAATAAAGACTCAGTTACATATTGCAAATATGAAATTTTGACAAAATATTTAAAATGCCCTTCAATCAAGTTGTGATTTAATCTACTGAAATTGTCATTCGCTAAAGTAAACTTCTTATTTCCCATAGTTAACTTATCATTTGATATATTCTTAGCCAAGTTGTGATTTGATTTGCTGTAATTGTCATTTGCTAAAATGAACTTGTAATTTTTCATAGTCAACTTGTTACTTGGATGAGGGACATTTTAGACATTTTACCAAAGTTTTATATTTACCATATGAGACTGGATCTTTATTTGCCATTTTCCAAATTGAGGGTCTCAAATCACAATTTTACATATTGGAGGGTCTTTATTTGCCATTTTCCCAACTTCATCTCACTAGAACAAAGTCTCAATGATTTATTAAATTAAGGAATCACTCCTCTGACCCTTAATATAGAATCTAATTGTTAAGTTAATTTTAATCCTAAATATAAAACCTATTTCTTATATTTATCAATTTTTTTCTAAATTGCCCCTATAAATACTCTCCCAACTACAATCAAGTAGAAAATAGATAGAGAATATTAAGAAAGATGATTATGGTGTTTTATAAAAAATATATCATATTTTTTATAATCAGCTAACTTACCAAACTTCCTTAATTTAATTAAATTAGTTAAATAAATCTCATATTAAAGATCGAAAAAGTACAACTCAAGAAACTGCCAAACCGCATTGAATGGAAAAATTTATGTGGATTTAATTGTTCCAAATCAAAGTTTGAAGACCAAATCTATAATAAAAAAGAAGACTGGAGGATGAAAGGCTATATTTTCCTTCCATTACTAGTGCCATTACCGCCATCATATGTCACAATAAATTCCTGACAGAAGAACGAATCCTACACTTGTTAGTTTTCACTTTTCCCCAACAAACTAGAGTCCCTTGACAACATAGGCCCAGGAGAGACTGCTCTTCTTTCTGTTCTTTAGGATCATGAAGTGAAAAGGTTGAAGTTACGATATGTATTTTTTGGAATCTTTTTCAGGCCAAAAACAATTGTTTAGGCTGTACCTATCTTAAATTTTGAAAAAAAAAAAAGGAAAAAAGAATGTGATTACAATAATGATTAGCTATTGGAATGAAAAAATAGTATTGAATTGGTCCTGGCATTATATCCTTGAAATGTCATCTTGTTTGTTCTTAAAATGCCAGAAGGGTTTCCAAATTCATCATTCACTCAACCCGTTTGCTCTATTTTCTTGGCAGTATTAACGAATGTTGCACTTTTGTTAAAGCCCTCGAGCAAAAGAATCCGTACTGCTTCCACTCCTTTTTCAAATGTAAAATCCAACTGAAATATATTTGATATCAGCATTCAGAACACAGAGACCATGCGTCGAAGGATTTTTCTGTCAATTAGACAGTAAGAAAACGTACCTCTTCTCTTTCTTGTTTAGTGAAGGGGCGAAGAACAAATGCTACAGGATCCATTTTCCCAGGAGGCCGTCCAATGCCTAAAAAGTCATCAATTTTGGTGACAAATAAACATCACAAAGGAATGCAAATATGTAATAAAGGTAAAAACTTCAAACTTTTCCCCCCTTCAACATACCGATTCGTAGTCGAGGAAAATCAGAACTCCCTTTGAAGTGACTTATAACACTTTTCATTCTGCAAAAATCAAGAACAAAAACACTAATGCCTCCTTTTCTTCCCTCAGCAAGAAACAAACCCAACAAGAGCATAATATTACTCAGATAGATTACCGTGTTATTGATCTTGATGAGAATGGAAGAACTTGAGATGCATTTGAGCAAAAATAAAAGAGTAAGGGCTGAACATCATGACTTGAAGCAAAATACAAAGGCTATTCTAACAGAAAGAGGCCAATTTCAAGGGTCTCCCATACTATTTAGAGGCCAAGGATTTTGAATTTGCTCTCGACATGTAATTTCAGGATAAAGATGTAGCTTTAAAGACAAAAGAAATGTTTTAATTTTGTGCTTTTGAACCTATGATGTTACTGTTAAACTGTCAGTGCCATTCCTTAACCCAAGAGAATGGGAGTAAATCATGGCCATGCTTAGACAGTGGAAAATTTAACCACGTTCCATTCACTTCAATAGTTTCTATACAGATAACTAATGTAAGCCAAGCACTGCCTGGCCTACAATATTCTCTGCTTGTTTCTAGAATGCCCATTCGAATTTTAAAAGTTGATCCTTTTTATATTTTAAAGCACAGGTAACGTTTCTGCTGCTATTTATCAAGTTAAGCGAAGACATTTTCACATCCAAATTATGGTTGTGGCAATGATAATTTAAGACAACCCAAAATTTTCTACTATCAAATTAAGTAGAAGCTTGTATATGAAATTAAAATCATGATGGATATGGCAGTTTATACATTCAATAAGATGTCATACTAGACTTTGACAAATGAAGCACTATTGAAAAAAGAGCACAAGAGAAGATCATAATTACCCATTGTGACCTCCATGTCCCCCCTTTGGCAACAGCCGCAATTTTCCAAAAGGCAAATCTAAGTCATCAAAAATCTGTACAAGAGACTTGTTAAGCCCAGGCTGCAAATGGTGCCTCAAATACTCCTCATCACTTTTTCAGGTCTTAAAGAAAAATAACATGATGAGTTATAGCATAGAGAATATACCACAACTACTTGCTTCAATGGAATCCTGTAATAGGAAACAATGGCCCCAACCTTCAAAATAGATTTCATCCCCAGTCAGTAAGCCTCAAACAAATGCAATAAAGGAAAACGCACATTAACAATGCTGCTCTAAGTGGTGTTAAACACAAAGACAAAATATTTAATCATGACTGCTTTCTTCAACAATTTGTCATTGTTATGCCATGGGATCTTATTAAGTCATTTCAGATTCATCACGTTGACAGTCACAAAACCATTATTCTCCGGTCAATACTGCTGACCTACCATATTATTACATACGAGAATTCTCAGGCCAACTTACTTACAGATTCACCGCTTAAATTCATGAAAGTCTGAGGCTTTGCAAGTATAACAGGTGCATCACCAATAACACCTGAAATAGGAAAACAGTTTCTTTAATTTCATTGCCCAACAAGCATAGCTACCTCCAAATATTTCAACATCTTTTTTCTTTCCTCCCTAACACTCTGAAATTTAAATTAAAATGATGAAGGCAAACAAGCTGTCTGACAAATTTAACAGAGCCAAAGGCTCACAAAAACGACAGCAATTTGGGCAATCATGTCTACAGTGCACTAATTATAGACGGTTAATTGTTTGGCATAAAAGTTCTCTTTCAATCAACTTGACTACAATTATGATCATAATAAAACTAAATAAGGAAAAAAAATAAAAATAAAGAGCAGCCATAATTTTACTAGCAACAAAAATTATGACTTAACTGCCATGCCTCTATGATCGCCAAATTAATAAGAGAGAATAAGAAAGTTTCAACCTTTTCCAAACAGGGCTTTAAAGGAAACGCTGCTCATGGGTATTCCTTCAGCTTCAGCTATAGCATCAACCATCTCAAAACCCACCTGAAATGACGATACGAAATGAAGTCAGTGAAAGAATATTGAAATCGGTTCCAAGTCCCAACCTATCATATACAAGGCATCAGACACCGCTTTCTAACGAATAATATGAAAATTAATTTCTTCCATTTCATAAGGTATGTACAGTATGCTTTAAAGAAGGAGAAAGTTTCTTAAAAGCAGTATGTAAAGAAAGGGGATCCTCTAAGAATCCCTCTTAAGTGCATGATACGAACTTGTACAACAAGCAAGCAAGCACAAAATGGAGTACTCATCGCATTAGGATACATAGTATTTCCCATAAATCTTCTTTTTTGGCACATGATGGAGAAGAGATTTTAATCTAAGACAGTTCTTGCTAACTGATATCCCTATCACTAGATCACACCCAGTAACTTCAGATGTCAAGCAATATCTAATTTTTAGCCCAACGCTGCCAAACAAGCCAAATTGCCTGGAAGATACTATAACTTTAGTCCTAGTGAAAAAAGATGCACCAAATTAATAAATACTAGAACAGTGAACAGATGCAGCTGAGCTGAGACAATCTAAGTTCTAAAATTAGTGACTTTCGTAAGCACCTATTGCTTAATGAGACAATTCTCCCAGGCACAATAACTACTGTGGTGGCCGTGGTACTGGACTTTACAATTATCACTGAAACAGGAAAAGCGAGGGGATGAACATAACATAGAAAGCCAAGCTAGTTGTGTACGGACATTGTGGCGAGTACCGGCGTACTTCTTGCCTGGATTTCCCAGGCCAACGATTAGCCATGGGTCCTTGTTCTTGGGCTTCACGGGCTCCGTGCTCATTGCATCTGTGGTTATTGAAGCTGCGATGGCCGAAGAATTCTTACCGCAAAAGAGAGACAGAAGACAATACGAAGAGGGAACTGAAACTAAAGGCTTTGAAAAGCGGAAGCAACGATTCAAGTTGGGGAGGCCAGTTGACGATAATGAAGCACAAAGATTCATGTTTCCTGGTCGAAATATTAGATTTCGATGCAAGGGAAAGAGACAGAAGCCCTAGAAAGCCAGGATGAAGAAAGTGCACTTGTGGGAATTTTTTTAGCCCCCCCCCCCCACCCCAAAAAAAAAAAAAGGACTGAGCGAAGCAAAACATTACAGTCGCCGTTGCCGGGGATCGAACCCGGGTCGCCCGCGTGACAGGCGGGAATACTTACCACTATACTACAACGACACGTTGATGATCTGGCCGAACGTATTACATACATTAAAAAAAAAAGGATCACATCACCCGATACTTTCTCTCCCTTGATGCGCGCGCGAATTGCTTACTATTCATTTACTGTTGATTGTTTTAATTAATTTTTTTTTAGCTGATAAATTCCGTACTTCAATCATTTTAAGAAGTTCCAAACCCAAAAGAAAGAAAGAAAAGAATTTAAGGTCAGCTTTGCAGCATCTAGCTAAATGATGGAAAAATTAATATATCAATATATAAATATACAGAAGTTATATGACACACATCTTCACCAAAAATCTTTGCAAGTGCACAAACCGTTTTTGAAGTGATGAAATCTGTTCACATCCCTAACAATGAACTCTCTCTGTACAATATCACTAATCAGCTTGAAGGCCTCGTGACAGCCCCTGCACATTCTCAAGTTCTTCATTATTCTGATTATGGCTCCTTGAGGAGTATTCATTAGTCCAAAAGCCAATGCTAGTCTTTCACTATGCAAACTCATAATTTGCTCTTTGGCCTCTTCTTCCACGTCAATAAAAACCAACCCTTTTGTCTCCCCCACATATCCTCTTTCCTTCATTCTTTCTTCCAATTCCCTAAGAAAACTCAGTATCTCACTCCCTTGAACACAATTAGAAACATCTCCAGCATAAAACAAGTATGTTGATTCCTTTATCTCAATCCAACTGCACCCAGGTTCCTTACTAATTCCAGTATGTTTCATTCTAGATCTTAGAGTATAGGCATTTTCCCAATCCCCAGCTGATACATATGCATTGGACAAAGTAACATAAGCTGCTGCTGCTTGCAGGTTGGATGCTATCAGCCTTTTGCCGGCTTCAAGGGCAATGTCTACCCTTCCATGAATCCTGCTAGCTGAAAGAAGTGTACCCCACAACATAGCCTCTTCCTCGCTGCTTTCAACTTTGACAGATTTCACCAACTGGTAGGCTTCTTCAACACGGCCAACGCGACCTAACATATCTGCAACACATGTATAATGCTTAGCATCAGGCTTTACTCCATATTTGCTGTTCATGGAGTTGAGAAGTTCAAGCCCTTTATCTATTAGGCCTGAATGGCTGCAAGCATGCAGCACTCCAACAAAGGTCACATCATTGGGTTTGATTCTTCTATCAATCATTTCCTGAAAGAGTTGCAGGGATAGGTTTCCAGCTCCATACTTTGCGGCACCCACAATCATTGAGGTGTAGAGAATTACTGAGGGATTTTGGATTCTCTTGAAGACTATTTCAGAGTAACTAACACAGCCACATTTGGCATACATGTCCACAAGTCCAGTGGCAATCACATCATTTGCATCATGTCTGAGACGGATCACAACCCCATGAGTGGTTTTCCCAGCACCAAGACTGCCCAAACTGGCACAAGCATTGATTACACTGGATAACATGAAATGATTTGGCCTACCCAACCTCAAATTATTGTATTCTTTAAACAAATCAAGGGCATGGTGTCCTAGTGCGTTCTGAGAATATGCTGTGATCATTGAAGTCCATGAGACAATATTCCTGTTATACATTGAGTCAAAAACAATCCTAGCTTGATCAACCTTATTACACTTCCCATACATATCAATAAGGGAGGAACAGACAACAAGATTGGACCCAAAACCCATGACCACAATAAGAGCATGAATACTTCTACCTACCTTGAGGTTAGCCAAAAGTGAACATGCATTGGTCATTGTGGCAAAAGTAAACTCATTGGGCGGAACGGAGGTTTCTTTCATTTTCTGAAAGAGCCAAAGTGTCGATTCAGGTCGAGCCTCACCAGTGTAACCAGCCATAAGCGACGTCCAGGACACCACATTTGGTTCAGGCATTTCATCAAACAGTTTTTGTGCACAGTCAATTCTCAGCAGCCTAACATACGAGTTTAAAAGATGGTTGATGGTGAAGGTGTCGTCCAAGAATCCAGATTTGATAACGTAGCAATGGGTGGAGGTTACAGATGTAAAATCATTAGAACTTTGTAGGTTCCGAATAAGGTTGGCTTGCGTATGAAAAAGTGAGTGTTTGTGTTGTTGGGAAAGAGATGAAAGAAAGAGGTTTATTCGGATACCCTGATTCAAGGGATGCTTCATTTTCCAAGTGCTTTTGACCCAAAGATAACTATGTAAAAATAAGATAAGGAACCATATTCAGTTATTTATGATCTCATAAACCATAAAATCTTTCCCCTGGACGCTGTGTCTCTCGTGATATACAGAGGACAACCTGGTCAATGACGGAAAGATAACTATGGAAATGTTTCAATGGGATTGGCGGGAGAATCTTTTTCCATTTAGGATTATAAGGTTACCTCTCACAGGTACAGTAAACCATATTAAGGTTGCTTATTTAAGTCTCTGTATTTGAACGGTGCAAATGTTAGGGTAGCTATAGCAACAAGATTGTTTCCCTGTCCACATGCACAACAGTAACTTTCTCAGAGAGTTATGGGCAGGGTTTTGTTTTCCTTAGTTGAATTGAGGTTATTAACCTGTTGAATAGTAGTTATGACTCAGCACCAGAGATTGGCAAATTGTATTGAATTATATCTTAAAGCTGATAACTCTATTAAACCTTGCTAAGATGTCTTAATAGTTTTGAAAAAAATTATTATATCTTTTGATCACGCTCCACCTTTTTTCTAGTTGAGATGGATAATGATAAAAGAAGCTAATCCTTATTGATTGCTGTTTGTTATAGTCCTGTAGTTTTTTTTTTTTTTCCCTCTTCTTAAGTTAATAGTACAAGCTACTGTAATTTTTCAGAATTATGTTAAATTGGCTTTATTTATTCATATAAAAAAAAACACATACTTAGTACAAATTCCACGATGTATCAACTAGTAATTACTTCACACCGGGAATTACACACTACTGAGATAAACCCAAGTTGAACTCAACATATCAAAGTAAGGCAAGGCAAGACAAGGCACAAATTGCAGCCAAAACGAAGAACTTGAGCCATTTTCTAGCGTGCCATGCCTTTTGCAACGTTTGGAGGCACTAGTGTCGCTTTGTTCATCTTTTGCTCGTTCCCACTCCAACCTGATCATATAATTTAACACTTGCAGGAATTAGATCTTGTGGATGACGATGATAAAGAAGAAATTATAGCTCCTTCGTACATGTGTCATTGGTTATGATCAAACTAATCTCATCATGAAATTTCGTTGTTTTGTTTTTGAAAATGTTATCATATATATGAGTCCATAAGCATGTAGTAATTATGAGATAGGGAATGTATAGAAGTTACTTGCCTCCTAAGTAACAAATAATTAATACTCTCTCCTAAGTTTAATATAAAATCTGACGGAAGAGTTCATTTAGTCTCCTCAAATTTATGATTTTTTCCCCCTAAACTCTTCCTATTGATTACATTTATAAGGGAGTTTTCCATCCACAAAATAGTAGTAATTTCCAATGTAAATAATTAAAATAAACGGTTACTTTAAGAAGATCAACATGTATATTTTACAAATAACTAATTTAATTAATTTTCTTAATATCTGTAAATTTTATATTTAAGATTAAAAGAAATAATTGGTAGCATTAACTATTTGAGCAACACCGAAGAAATCCAAACCCACAATCAGTGATTTTAGTTTTACTTAGTCCATTATGATGAATTCTAGAAGATGATCACACACGTACACATATATATGCACACATGAAATATTACGGTTATTAATAAAAGATCTAATTTATAATTCAATTTGAATTACAAACTAGATCGAGATCTTATATTAAATATCGGATGTAGTATAACTAAACAGAAGGACATATCACATACCTAGAGAGGGGTCAAATCCGCGGTTTTTGAGCTCTCGATACTCTTGACAAATGGCACAATAATTGCAGAAGCAGTGAACGCAGAAGTCATAGCAAGGCCGTTCTGGTAAGTAAGTAAAAAGGCCTCTCAGTTTGCCTCTGTATGTGAAGGTATACAAGCAAGCACATCCTATATGTGCCAAACAATACACTGTTATCCCAGCGCATGCACAGGCTGCAATTACAGTAAAAATATTGTTTTATCTATATATATATCCTCATTATTAATAATTTTAACAATAATAATGATGATGATGAAATTAAATATGATCAGCATTAATTAAGTATAATTAATTACCCACATACATGTATTCCCTTTGTCTATGACTTCAGCATTCTGACCAAACGTAACGCAAGGACAGCAGCACGTCATGAAGCCTTCCAAACAAACGTAATTCAATGCAAAATCATCGTCAACAACAACATATGTATACACATAATTTTTAAAATTCACACATATATATGTATATACACACACGCACACAAAAACATGTATATAAAAAAATTATTAAAGATAGGTAGCAATACAATTTCCAGGATCTTCGAAGCATCCGAATAGACCAGTGGTCCATCGGCCTGGAGGATGAGGACTGGAACCACCGTTGTACATTTTGGGATCAATTGATGATCGAAGAAGATGAAGATGAACACGTACGTACGTTTGCTGGCTATATATACATATATATACATATTTATATATCTCTATATATTTGGGCAGACTAGCTCGACTTAAACTAGTTAGGTTTTAATAAGATGCTCCAAGTTGTTCGATACTTTCATAGTTTCAAGGCTGGATATGTGGCCTGCAAATTAAAAATATCGAGTGCCTAGAGCAAGGGTTTTTGGACATTATTAGCTAATATAATGTTAATTATACTACCTCCGGTCCTAATTATAAGATCTAGTTTATTAATTTGAGGAAATTAAGAAAATAAGTTAAGTTAGTTATTTGTAATAAATAGATGTTGTCTTTCCCAAATTATCCTTACTAACCAAGTGTTTTAGCTAAACTACAAACATTAAAAGGACTATCTTGGGAAAAAAATATATAAATATGAAAGACAAAGTAAATTGGAGTTTATATTTAGAATCAAAATAAAAATCAAACGAGATCTTATATTAAGAACCTGAGGTAGTATATACTTCTCCGGTCCTTAATATAGGACCCAATTCTTGAGTTGGTTTTGGTCCTAAATATAAGACCCATTTCTCATATTTATCAGTTTTCTCTAAATTACCCTTGTGGATACTCTCTCAACCATGATCAAATAGAAGAGGGAAAAGGGGTATTAAGAAATGATTATGGTGTTTTAGAAAAAATGTGTGACTTTTCTTATAATTAATCAACTTACCTAACTTCCTTAATCTAATCAAATTAGTTAAATAGGTCTTATATTAAGGATCGGAGGAGGAGTTTAATACTCTTCACATTAATTCTCTCATCTCTCTTGACCCATTATTATTCATTGATTCATCACACCACCGAAAGCAGAAGCGTATACGTATTTTAATCTACCAACTAATAATGAGAATGTCACGTTAATAACATGACCATTAATCAATCTCTTGTGAGCTCTAAATGTGTGATAAGATGGAAGGTTGAACATCTTGCTTAAGTAGGACTTAATAAGGAGGTGCTAATTAAGTGTTAGTTGAGCCAAACAGCTCTAACCAATTCATTCCGTTTGTATTTTTACGTCATTAAGCATATATTAATGACTAACAAGAATAATCCTGCATTAGTGTAATTGTATTAATTGGCTGGACAAACATGTATATATATAAGGAAAAATTAATTTAAATGTCATTATAGTTTTTCTCAATTTTGAATTAGGACCTTGTATCCCCCATTGTTAGCTATGTTAGTCCTTGCTGTCAAAAAAATGCTAATCCCATTAAAAACTGCTCGAAACAGGAGAATAAGACGCCTTGCAATGGCTACATCGCTTTTCCTTGGAATAGCACAACCCATATGATCACCAAAAATCTGAACTTTGGCCGCTAAAATGACAAGGAGGATTATCAGATGCAGCGATGACATGTAGTGAACAATGAAACCCACAAAAAGAATATTCATTAGCACAGCGCAATCCAGAAACTGTCACACACCCAATCAACTTCCTGAGGTGAAGCATCCGAAGCATATATGAAACCCATGATACGATACAGCCCATTCCAGGGAGTAGTACTCTTCTTCTGGTTCTATTATAAGGTATTTTTAGCATGTTTCAGATAGATTAAGAAAAATCTTAAATTGTATTTAACTCTATTAAAATATAATAACTTTCTAACTTTACCCTTATTTAATACTCCTTGGTCTTATTTATAAGTCACTTCCAACATATTTCATACAAATCAAAGAAAACCTCAAACTTTATTAACTCTCATTAAAAATTCAACAATTTTTAATTTTATCCCTATTTAATATATATTATATATCATGTAAACAAAATTAACACAATAATAAATGAAGGATAAAATTGCACATCCATACAAAAAATTTCTCTCAGTGCCCTATAAATAGAACCAAAAAATGTCTTCTCTCTCTGCCTTATAAATAGGACCAGAGGAGTATATATGTATCTTTAAAAAGAATAACTATCTACACTACAACAAATGAAGAATAAAATAGTACATTTATGCTAAAAATTTAATAAAATGAATTATAAATAAGACCAAGAAAAATATTTTCTCTCTGCCTTATAAATAAGACTAAAGGAATATAGTGCAATTAGTGAGAAGAAGGCTGTTGGTGAAGATTAAGTTGACAGAAGAAGAAATGAATAAAGAGAGCAAAGTGTGAGAGTTTGGAGGATGGAATTAAGATTATATTTGGTAGGAAGTATTGAAAATGATGGATTGGAATTGGGATTGTACTTGAAAAAATATATTAAAAGAGCGTTTAGTATAAGAGATTGTTTGTTATATGGGATTAGTTAAACCCATACATGTGGGATTGGAGAATATCATGAGGGAAAGTGGTATTCTCCAATCCCACCTCTATGGATTTGTCTAATCCCATATAATAAGCAATTACTCATGCTAAATATTATTTTAATGATTTTTTTAATTGCAATAATAATCTCAATCTCTAATTTTCAATGTTTTGTACCAAAATAGACCTAACGGTTTTTGGGAGAGAGAAGCACGTGGGACACAGGCTCTTTCCAGATTTCGCAAGCAGACCTTGAGTAGAACCAAAGACCATCAATACATGGGAAATAATGGGAATTAAAGGCAATTGTGCATAACAAAGCTGCAATGGCATTTGTCACCGATAAGTGGGGTTAACTTTCTACTTTTCAACGGTGCCAGTCTTTTTCATAAAATCTTACTAACGACTTTAATGAGATGCAAAAATTAATTAATTTTTTTTAAAAAAATTACAATGTTTCAAAATATCCGTTTAATTGAAATAGCTCATTGATAGAGGATGAAAAAGTTACTATTATATATAAGAGATGAGTACTAGTTATAAATATTTAATTAATTGTTATGAAGAGTCTTGTGATGATTAAAATAAGCGGAAGAAATAAATTTAATACTACCTCCTATCCTCAAGATTATACTACCTCTAATATTTAATATAAGATCTTGTTTGACTTTTATTTTGGTCCTAAATATAAAACCTCAATTCACTTTGTCTCTCATATTTATGTAATTTTTTTCAAGATAGTTTCTTAATAATTATAGTTTTAGCCAACACACTTGATTAGTAAGAATATTTTAAGAAAAATAATATCTATTTATTACAAATAACTAACTTAAATTATTTTCTTAATCCCCTCAAATTAGTCAACTAGCTCTTATAGTTAGAACCGGAGGTAGTAGCTACTTAGGGGGTTGAGTTTGGTGCTAAGTATAAGTTCTCAATCCTTTTTATCTCTCAAATTTATAATTCATTTCCTAAAATATTACCATTGATTACACATAAAGAAAACTTTCATCTAAGAATAGTTATGATTAAAAGAATACTTTAGAGAAATCAGCTCATATTGTTTTTCCGTTTGCATAAAAAAAAAAATAAAGAGAGAAATCAGCTCTTTTTTTTTTCACAAATAACTAACTTAACTAACTTTCTTAATCTACTCAAATTAATTAAGTAGTTCTTATATTTGAATATTTTGACGTAAAATCATGTCACATTTCATTCACATTAACACAAATAACATACATTAATTCAAATTCAAGATAATTAATAATTACTTCACAGCTCACACATACAAAGGAGAAATAAACTAAAGGAATTACACACACGTCCTCTAAAGATGCTCAAACTAGAAAACATACAAACGACAAGAGGGGAATCAAACGCCAAAGAGACGTGCGAAAATATTCCAGCTAGCTAGCGAGTCATGGCTGGTGCAACTTTTGGAGGCACTTGAGTAGTAGCTCTGTTCATGTTTTCTTCATTCCCAGTCCAACCTATGCGTATATGTATATATCTTACAGGAATTAGATCTTTTGAAGATATAATATCAAAAGACGAATTGCCATTTTATTTTAAAGACTGATCAATCAAACAAGTATAGGATAAACTTCAAAACAGAAACACAAACCTAAGGAGGGATGGATTCCACGGTTTTTGAGCTCTCTGTATTCTTGGCAAAGAGCACAAGAAGTGCACCAGAAGTGAATGCAGCAATCATTGCAGGGTTCTTCTGGTAAGTTAAAAAGCCCTCTCAGTTTGCCTCTGTACGTAAACGAATACAAGCACACGCATCCTACGTACGACAGAACATAGAACACTAAACCCGCGCACGCACAAGCTGCAAAGACACACACGCATATATGTATAAACACCACATCCTCGTTATATATTATGTCTCTGTATATATAGAGTAACAAGAACAACGTATTGTCACGGTCATGATAAGGTTAATTATTTCTCACATGTGTTTCCTTTGTCTATCACTTCAGCACTCTGACCAAAGGCAACGCATGGGCAACAGCAGGTCAGGCAGCCTTCAACAGAATGAAAAAAAGATCAACAACGCGTCACACTTGAATTACTATATAAATATATACACACACATACACACAGAGAAACATGCTTTTCTGAAACTAAAAATTAATCTAATGGATATAATATTGACTGTGAGTTCAGAGAGAGAGAGAGAGAGAGAGCTTTACGGACAATTTCCAGGATCTTCACAGCAATCACATAGACCTGTGGTCCATTGCCCATGAGGATGAGGTTTGGCATCTCCGTTATACATTTTGAATCAGTCGATCGAAGGTGAAGAAGTAATAATAAGAAGCTAGATATGTATCAGATGCGTGAAGATGGGTTTCATAGGAAAATTCTGTACTCTGTGTGTGTGTGTAAATATATATATATAGGCTATTGAGAAAGGCAGAAAGCTCCTTCTTGGTTGACTTTAATTGGCTTCATTTTTTGTTTATAGATATTCAAGTAATTGGTTCGCTATTCCAATAGTGCAAGGCTGGCCTTGTAAAGCGGCACATGGCAAGCTATGAAGAACCATGTAGTTTCTTTATTCTTTACATTCCCTTGTTCTTCTCGTCCGCCGGCCGGCCCATTGAATTGTGTATATATGGATACAATTCCATTCATCAGAAATGGAATGGAAGTAATTTCATAATTATCTATGGTATTTATTAGCTAAATATAGATTACTGATATCAAGCCTCTAGCTAGAATCAATGTTTATTTGATTGCCATGCATATTCATATCTCCCAAAATTGTGTAAATATAATTCAATTTAAACCCCCGTGTGTGTGTGTGAGACAAATTAGTTCAAATAAATATTTGTATTCATGAGCATGTGTTTTATCCATGAAGCCTCTTCTAACTCTGAGAACCCCCAAATAGGCAAATACCCAATTCTCCTAAAATCTTTTTTTTTTTAATTATACCAATGATTTGGAAGGAGAAAGAATACTAGAAGGAAAAACTGTTTGGAAGGAGAAAGAATACTAGAAGGAAAAACTGTTTAAAATAGTAAATATTTTATTAATCTTAAAAGTTTTTTTCTCATAGTATTCGCACCTTCCTATTCCATCCCCTCCCATTTTCTTCCTATCCAAACCTTGGAGTTGACTTTGACTTCATTGATGTATAGTTGTGCTTTAAGTATGGGAAGAACGACATGTTGCATTCATTGGCTGCAGAAGCAAAGATATTGATCAATAATGCCACAATTAGCGGCGCATCATAAAGCTACAATGACATTTTCTTTATAACAAGGTGCTTCGTCACTTGAAGAATGAAGTTGCTTAGTCAAAGCTATATGGCTAGGCTGTGTGATAATGCTGGGACATTTACTTAAACATTCTCAATCCGAAATCAAAGGTTGACTCAAATTTTTGCGGTTGACCAGGAAGCTGAGAAGCCACATCCTTATCATCATTCCTTATTTCCTTTGACAAATAGACAGCCCAGATAAGATAGAGTTGGTCAAATTGCAAACAAGAACATTGTTTTTAGGAGAATCTTCAAGTTAAGGCTAAGTTGTATTCCAATTTCCAAACCAGATGAGTAATCCCTCTAAAGCTATGGACATTTTGTCAAGATTGCCTTATTATGTGGATCTCTCAAAGAAACTAACGTGTAGGGATGTCATTAAGTTTGGACTTATCAGAATTTTCTGCTGCAGTGCTCGTTGTCATCTCCATATTCACAATAGAAACCCTTTATTTTCTTTCTTATTTGAGAAAATTGGTGAAAACCTCTTGTTACAAATTTCATTGTCCAACATATGTCAAAATTTTTTATGAATCTCTGTGCAAACTAATTTTCAATGGGTGAAACTTTTTTTTTTCCCCATCTGCATGCAATCTATTTTTAATTATGTACAGAATAAAAGACATTTGCACATAACTCCAAAAAAAAAAAAAAGTTAAACTTGATGGAGATGAGTTGTACTCGCCCATGGACTTAGTCTTCAAGTAGCTTTAGCAATAAATTTTTTAATGAGAGATTTTTCATCAATTTGTTTTTCTTATTTCCACAAGGGGTGGGAAAAAATTGACCCGAAGAGAAAAATTGTCACTCCTATTTGGGTGAACCACGTCGATCAAGATTGAATGCTTTGAATTAAATGCACTGATTACGCTTCCTGTTTAGTTAAAGTATTTTTAGGAGTAGTTGGGTAGTCATTGGTACATTTAGTATTTTTTTTCCTAATAATTCAGAGAAATTGGGTCAACCGCATTAATTGAAATTGATTTTGAATAATATGAAAAATAAGCTAAAAATGGCTAAAGTTCTTTAGGCGAGTTGAGCATTTAACGAAGGAGAGAGAAAAGTCCGGTTTAAATAATATACATTTTGGTACCGCAATTGGTCTCCACTTCCCAGATTTCTGATTTCAAGACCATAACATGCAAATAGAACACACAAAGAATGTCTCGCTGCCTTCGGGAGGATGTGACCTGAAGGCCTTCAATTAAATTTGGATATCGGGAGGCGCACTTATTGAAGGGGTTTTAATCTTAACGTTTTCGATTGACAGAGATTAGTTTTAAATTCAAAGTAACTGAAAAAAACCTAGGTTTATACCCCCAAAAAAATCTGCATACAAAGCCATCAAGAACCAAGATAGGAATTGAAGCTCTGAGATCTGGACTAGAATATGAAAGTGGCCAACTTATTGGGGGGGGGGGGGATCAAACCTTTTCTATGGAGGGTGGCTTGGGATCGACTTCAATCCAAGTTTATTCATATAGAAGGAAGTGGAGTTTATCAAAGGACTTGCCCTTTTGGCTGCAACACCCTAGATACTTCCCTCCATATCCTCCTCAGAGGTTGTATAGAAGCCAAAGAAGTTTGGCTTAAACTAGTGAAACAACCTCCACTGAATGCTTTCTTCTCTCTTTCTTTGCAGGAATGGATTCTATGGAATACAAAGAACGAGGTAGGAAGCCCGAGTGCTAGAAAAATATCTTCGCAAAGACTCTTTACGCAAGTTCGCCGGAACAAATGGAAAGCCAGAGGTAGGTCTCTATACTTGGATGATCCCATCCCACGAGCAGAAATTGCTTTCATCTCCACACAAACTATAATTACTGTCTTAAAGTTGGAGGATAGGATGAGCATATGTGAACAACGGAGAGATACATGCTCTAAATGGACACTGCCTCAAACAGTCTGGGTTAGATTAGATGTCGATAGATCTGCTGATCGCACTGAAGCAGCAACCTGCGGAGGCATCGAATGTGATAAACGAGGAAACGAGTTACAGGGTTTCACTAAACACCTTGGATTCCACCCAAGCACTACCGCTAAAATTCTAAGTATTACCTCCGATCTTTAGTGTAAGAGTTAGTTGATTGATTTGAGTAAATTAAGAAAATTAGTTAAAGTTAGTTATTTGTAACAAATAAGTGTTAACTTTTCTAAAATACTCTTATTAATCAAGTGCATTAGCTAGATATGAAACTTTTAACACAATTCCCTTAAAAAATAAATAAATATAAAAAAAAGTGAATTAAAATCTTGTATTTAAGAATAAATTAAATGTTAAACTAGCTCTTTATGAAGAATCAAAGGTATTTTTTTGTGGGAAAGAAAAACACGCTAAAGTCAACCTCCAATGTGGCTTGATCGAGGCAATCTCCCTCATTCGCCATGAGAATTCGAATGATCACCCCCTGATCAGACACTTGGGACTATTAACGACCATATCATGAGCAACTGGATTGTCATTATTGACCATGTCTTCAGAGAAACGAACACCTGTGCCGATTGGTTAGCTCATCAAGCTAACCAAGACAATTTCAATGCTACTATCTTCAATCATCCAACTCCAGGATGCATAGACTTGTTATTAGTCACTCTGACCTGCTCGACTTGTTCTATTTCCAGACGGTTTCACTGTGACCTTTGTATTCCCCCCAAAAAAAAGAAAAAGAAAAAAGGTTCTAAGGTTGCATCGCCTGCAGTTGTTAGAACCATTGTCACTGTTGCCTGAGCTATCCTCATCAAAGCCATCACCAACCTGAACTATTGCTTTAATAGAATTTTATGGCCGCTGGATACCAGAAGTTAAAAATATTTCACGCTTGAAAATGCAAGATACACCTCTTGGAAGCTATTTATATTTTCCAAGTAAGTCAACAAAATGTTTCCGACAAGCCTCGCAGTTCTGAGTAATCAAGAAATTATATTAGAACGATAGCTGAGTCTTCTATCAAATTTCGCGAAAAGTAGAAGCTAGATTGTAAATATCTTACAATAGGAGATATGTTATTTAGAAATGAATTTAAGTTTTGAAAATAATAGTTAAGTCTTTAACCTAATTTTTTTATTACTGAAAACTAAGTGAGGTTCCACGGAATTAGTCGTTCTATGACAAAGCAATCAGATAAGGCAGGAGTCTACTTCTTATGCTAACCTTTCTAAGTGTATATTTACGGTGACAATAGCTTGACAGATGACAAGTCTTATCAGTGTACCCATCTCCATCTTTATTGCAACCCATTGTGGATTTAAAAGCCTACATTTCCTCCTCTTGCCTTAACCATGGCATAAACTCGTTTGCAAGGTTTTTCATGCTCAAGTACTCAGAGGGGGCCCCACATAGCGGAAGAAGTTTTTAAAAACATCTTGTAATTTGTATCAAGAAAAAAAATGGACACAGTGCATTAATGAGGAAGTTGTGATCCTGACCATCCATCATGGCCAGAGTGAAATGTTTCTTCTCAACATAAGCAAATTTAAGAAAATTAAATATCAAAACGTCTATCCAATCTGAAAATTTGAAATATCCCATGCTGTAAGTTAACAAGAGAGAACATTCTCTTGACGCTTAACACTTAACATTCACCCAACACAACATTATCAATTACCTGATCATTTTGAAAACTGATAATCTGAAACCTGCATCAGCGAACTTTAGTCTTTTTGGTCTGGCTTTGGGTCTGTATGGCCGTGCAGATTTTCCTCCAACAGCGAATGGAGATGAGTGAAGGTATCACGATCCAAGAGAAATTTGCTCCAATGTAGTATGCATAATAGTAAAAAGTGTTAGCAGAGAACTTGTCACCTTCCAAGATTGCCGTTGTATAATAGACAGCAGTTCCATATAGCTGTCCCAAACAAACAGCAAACTGAAGTATGTAGCTGTATGACTTGCCAGAAGCTATTGCGTATCTGTAATCCATAATGGCAGCATAAACATAAGGCCAGCATAGAAAATGAGAGAAGAGAAAACGACAAGATAATCCAGAATTAGGCTGGATGTATAAACGTTGACTTATTTATTTCAGGATAATAACATTAGCTCTCTAGGTCGTTACTGGGAAATGGGGAAAGATTTATCAGAGAAAAGCGAAACTGAGCCACAAGAAGGTGCAAAGCCCAAACCAACAAATGGAAGTTCATCACGAGCAGGATGAGGGGCACAATGGGCAGGATCAAGAGTAACGAATTGTCCTGACAGGTTGGATGCGTAGGCTATATTCTGGGGGCTGTGTGTGTCTGTGGGGTGTTTATTGTTTTGTTTTGGGGGAGCAGAGGATCTGGTCTCCTGAAAACTGGGATATGAGAGTGGTTTTTCATTGGTGTTTACAGTTTTTCTGCGTCATTTCCAGTATTGGTGATTGTAATCCTCAGATTTTCCCCGTTCAATAGAGGATTTCAGACTATCTATGCCATTATTCTGTCCAGAACCTATCAGTCTTGAACTTACACAACCAAAAGGCTAGCTGGACCCTCCAAAACTGCCGTAATTCCTTCAACAGTGACTATCCCTGCATCCCTTCCAGCATACCTTGAATCCCCTTTGCTGTATTCCTTCCCTGTCAATCGTTCATATAGGATTTTCATCAATTAAAACTGCTTACTCATTGAAAGGCACCATAAGTTCAGATGCTAGGAATGTCAGGTGAGCAATGTGAAAAAGAAAAATTAAAGGACTCACAAACTTCAGCCAGGTAGTTGGCAGTCTTATCCTTGTAAAATTCTGGGGAGAAAACAAAATAGCCTTCAAGAATAATGTGCGTGAGCCCTGTGAATGCCCACCAGCACATTAACACGCGATCGATTTTTGTTAACTTGCGCAGGCGTCCTGCGATAGTCATGTCAGCAGGGAAAAATGAGAATCCTATAATCATTTGCCCTTAAAATTTGAAGCAGAACATATCATTTTCGGTGTGCACATGGTAATGCACCTAGTTAACTCTTAACTGAGTGATTTCCTAATCAAGTTGAAGAGCTGAGACACTGAAAAAGAAATGACATGTTTGCTTTAGTGCACAAACTACTAATTGGGTTCTAAAATTTTATCCACGGTTCTTGTTTAAACTTTCAAGCGCAATTGAGCCCTTAAATTCAAGAAGAAAAATAGCGTAAGCATTAGAATGGATAGTTTCAGACTTCAGAGTATAATCAACATTGCCAAATAAATTTCATTAATGTATAATTTGGCAACGGCAGATCAGGATTCGAAGGAAAATCTTGCAGACCTTACACGAGAAAAAGAAACACACCCTGCCAGTCCAATATTGTGAAGCACTGTACAAAATGATATGCGCAGACAGGACAATCTAATGCATTCAGGAACAGCAAGGACCCAATACAATTACAGCGAGAAGATAACTTTACCTTGCGATGAAAAATGAAAAATGAAAAAATAATAAAACACTCTCTGGAAATAGACCTCTACATTGAAAACAATTTGGAGCAAACATGTTCAAGACGGGCAGTACACTAATTTTTCTTGTGAGCAGTCAAAAAAGGCGACAAATTTAAACTGATAAGAAAAACCAATCAGCACAACTACTCCGAAGCATAGAGATGTCCATTTCAACTTAGAACACACAGTCGATTTTTGTGGACCACCAAAAGAACACAATGAATGAATCTACAGATTGGATAAGGGTACCTGAGAGGAGCCAGATGAAAGAGACGACGAGAAGAGAAGCCACACCGTAGACTCCAATAATGGTAGACTGAGAGAGGAATAAGGGAACGAAACCAGGAAGCTGCAAGTCCCTTGGCTCATAGGGATGACTGTGCGTGACCTGAGATCCCTCCATTGTTGCCGCTATAGCTACTGCTGAGTGAATCTGATCGGAAAACGCGACGGGGAATTCTGAAAGAGCGTCAACGCGGGCTCTCACAAAATGAATAAATAGTGAATCCCTTGAAAAAGTAACTACATCAATATTATGATTAACTTTAATCGATTTTCTTATAAATGTTGGCCAAAAAAAAAATCAATCTTCAACTGGTGTGGTTTGAGTATTAAATCAAAATCAAGGTATTAAAAACCGGACAGTAACTGAACCGGTCAAGATGGTAGATTAATGAGTAATAAGTCAGCTCCGATTCCAAATTTAAATTTTCATATATTCATATTTAGTATTTGTCCATTTGACAAACAATAATGCTCAAAAAAAATTTTATTTTTTTAATAAAATTTTTTGATAGTTTCAATAAATATTAAATGTCATTCTTGGAGTTCCTGATCTTCACGGTCACATGGATTCGTAGTCTAGAGCTCATGTTTAAATGGCCATATCATAATGAAAACGTTTATCACATTAGTATTTTGTAAAAGAAACCACATTAATATTATGATTAATTAATCGATTTTATTTTGGACAGTTATAAACTTATAATTAGTGAATATTAGTATGAGAAATTTATAAAGTATATAAAATTACCCAAATTTCATAAAAAGCATGCATATATTTTATTTTTAAATTTATGTACGGTTTTTTAAAATAAAAAATCAAACATTCCAATATTTTAACAGTCTAGTTAATTGAGATTACATATATTCATTTTATATTTATTAAAAATATCTTTTTATGTAATTTCAAAAAACTTTACTGCTATAAATTTATAAGTGTTGGGGAAAAAAATGATTTTGATATAGTTTATGTGAAAGTATTAATTTTAAAGATGGAAGAGCCGTTTGTGTATTTTAATAAATTAAAAAATATATGTAATTTAATCTTTTAATTATCACTGCATCACTTAAACATTGTCAACATATTTTTAAAAAAATATCTATTTGAAATTTCTAGTGAATTCTCTATTGATATATAGTTTTTTATTTTGTTTTTAATGATTATCTGATTGAATCAGATTCAAATATTATTAGGTTTAATTAGAAATAATCCTCTCAAGATGTTTGTGTAATCTTATATACTTAAACTTGAAACATTATATTTAAGTAATTAAGACTCTTATCACTAGGAATGTCGCGAGTTGGGATATTTTTATTAAGATACTATCAATGTGCTTAATTCATCAAGGTTATACTTGAAGTAGATTTTTTTTTTTTGGACACTAGAAATATTGTTTGGCAATAAAAGCCAACGCCTTTCAAGCTGTCATCCTTATCACTCGTGCCAATTTAAGTTAGTATCAAACTTTTAAAATTATCCAAATATCATGTAGCCAAATCATATCTAGTAATTTTTTCTTTATCTTCTTATCATAAATTTATTCATGGATCTAGGAAACTTAAATATTTAGATCGACCTATTCAATGAATTTTATGGTATTACTTCGATTTTAAATATAAGACTCAAATATATTATTATCTTCGATCCTATTTATAAAAGCTAGTCGACTAATTTGAAGAGATTAAGGAAAGAAGTTAAGTTGGTTATCTGTAAGGTGTTGTCTTTCCTAAAATATCCTTACTAATCAAATTTATTGGTTAAAACTATTATTATTAGAAGGACTATCTTGAAAAAATATATAAATATGAAAGACAAAATGGATTGGATTTTTATATTTACGATCAAAATAAAAATCAAACAATGTCTTGTATTAGGGGCTGGAGGTAGCATGTCCTTTTTAGTTATCCAAACTAATTCTATTAATTGTACATGTTAAGAGGGATTGCATCAAAAAATAGTTTCAATTCGAATATATAAAAAGATATTTTAAAAAAATCAACACATATGTTTAACAAATAATTAATTTAAATATTTTTTAGTATATCTAAAATAGTTAAGTAGATTTTATATTAAGGATCAAAAATTATAATTAAGAAGGTAATTGTCCGAACAGGGTATGATCGTATCTTGGCTTTGATTTGACTATGTAATTATTCAATAGTACATATAAAAATATATATTGTTGTGTTGTGTAGCATTTGAAGGTTGGCGTGATTTATTGGAATTTCCATGCTTCATAGTGATGCATTTCTGCTAGCAATCTATTTGGTCAAAAAAAAAATTAAGAAAACACTTACGGTCTGTCTTTAATATTCATTAGGTCAAATTTGTGAATCACATATAATTATATATGTGATTGGAAAACTTAACATAATGAATATAAAGATCTTCACGTAAGTTTTTCATATTACTTAATATATAATACCAACAAATTACATTTAAATTATTTATATCACCCACCTTAAAATCTCTTCCACCAAGCCACTTCTTCAAATTGGGCTTCACAAGCCATTCTTGATTTCTTCACTAATTGCCTCAACATTCCCCCCCCCCCCCAACCTAATTCCAAGTTCCCGCCATGAAAAATTTCCCGCATGCCTCATTCCTCTTGTGTGTTCCTTTTCACTTCTTTTGTTTCTGAACTCTGAAGTCCCACGTGATGGAAGTACTCTTCAGAAAAGCTTTTGTTGGCATGTGCATGCTTCTTCTTTTTTTCTGACCTTGCATGTGTATGTTGCTTTGTCCAAAAAGGTTTAGGAACCATACTATTGTATCACATATATTTGCCTTTTTAATAAAATTAAATGTGAAAATTTTTATTAATTTGATGTATAGAATCTTTCAACTAGTGTTTTTTCAACTCTCCAAATAGAATCTATTCCAAACACATGTATCACGATTGCTTTCTTCTACAAGGTATAAATATCTAAATTTTTTATATTTAAATATTTTTTTCAGACCTATTGCTGATATTAAGTAGTAGCCAAAATTTTATATCTATTTTTCATAATATTATACATTGATCAGAATTGTGTCCGGCACAAGTAACTTATTCATTGAAAAATAATGGTACCTACTGTACATTGATTTTATAATTAATAAATATTCTCCTCCTTGGGGTTTCTGAGGCTACTCTCTTTGATATAATTTTTTTTTTTTTAAGAAGTGTTTCTGACCTCCCTTCTAATACTAGAGTTGAGAAAACAGATTGAGCCAATTAGGCCAACCCATTTAGGCTTAAAAATTAAAAAGGATGGACTTGAAATTTTTCCTTCCAAATTAAAAGCAGATTTAAAAGAGCTAATCTGAATAGGTCGAGAGCGTAAACAGTCGGCCCATTTAGGTCTTTTTAATTTTTTTAATATTTTCAAATTTATTAATTTGATGTTAATATTTTTTTTTTTACATTATTAATGATATTGCAAATATTTATATAATAATTTGATTTATATTATGTTTATTAATATTTTTAAACTATATATATTTGATAAGAGAGTATTTTTATACTTATATAACTTGTGATTTTATTATTTGAATTAAAACTTATGAGTTTCTAACAGTAATATATCTCAAACTAAAATAAAATTTATTCAAAGAAGCAAATCTTGATATTTTTCACCAAAAAAGAGCCTACTTGTAGTGAGTTACATTTAAATATTATTGATATTGAAGATAGTGATGAAAATCATGTTGATGATGTTGCTATTGTTTAGTGTTTAGTTGGTGCTTTCTACGATTTAAGAAAATAACTTGATTTGATTTAGTTTTAGAAATTTGGACTACTATTTAACATTTTGTTTTATTAATCTCAATGGCTTGATGCATGAATTGTTAGAGTATAAATATCTAAGTATAACTAATTTATAATATTGGTTATATTAGTTAGATTAGTTCAGCTAGAATAAAACTGATTGTACAGCTCACGCGTGTAGTCCTTTTCATACTCTGTATATATATCCAAGATGAAATAATAGAAAAGTTACTTTCCCATTCTTATCACCATGTTCACTCCGTAACATGGTATCAAAGCATTTATGCTCTCTCATTCTCCTTCCTTGATTTTCTCGCCCTTCTCTTTCTTCCTGACTTCCGCAGTATTTTTTTTCTTTGCTTTGAAATGTCTTCTTCTGTTTCTTCTTCAATTTCTAAGCAAATCCAGAGTCCTACTAGCCTGTATTGTATACATCCAAATGAAAACCTAGGGTCTGTTCTTGTTTCTCCTCCGCTCCCAGGAAATAACTATCACTCTTGGTCGCAAGCTATGGCAATGGCCTTGGAGTCCAAGAACAAGATAGATTTTGTTAACAAAAGCATTTCTTGTCCAGTTCCAACATATCCGTTGTATTTGGCCTGGCGTTGATGCAATAATCTGGTGATTTCATGGATCAATCGATGTCTCTCACCGAATATTTCACAGAGTGTTCTTTGGATCGACACAGCTTATGACCTTTGGTTAGATCTAGCAGATTGTTTTTCTCAAAACGATGCTTCTCGTATTGCAGAAATCCAAGAAGAAATGTTTTCTTTAAGACAAGGAGATTTACCAGTTGGCCAATATTTCACCAAGCTTAAGATTCTTTGGGATGAATTGCAAAATCTACGACCTCTCTCCTATTTACTTGTAAAGCTCGAAAGTATCTGCAACAAGATTACCCTATCCGTTTTCTTCGTGGCCTTAATGATCGATTTACAGGGGTTAAATCTCAAATAATGCTTATGGATCCTATTCCTGGTATAAATCGTGTCTGTAATCTTGTTTTGCAGCAAGAACAAGAGATGATTTCTAAATCCAAGGTCCTCATGGCAAATCGTGGTCCTAATCCACGATCTCAGTCTCAACCTTGGCAAAATAATGGTTCTAATTCTAGTTTCAACAACAAGCAGTGTACGTTTTGTGGCAAGCTGAGACACACAGAGGAGACATGTTATCGCAAGCATGGATTTCCTCTTGGTTTTAAATTTCAAAATTCATCCCACTTGGCCAATAATTCTATTTCTCAGCCTCCGATTTCATTAGCCGAAGCCAAGGATTCCTCTCATGATGCAAAAATTGGTCTAACTTCTGAGCAATATCAACAGGTTATAGCACTGGTTCAAAAGGACAATTCCTCCAACCCTCCAACTCCTTCTTTAAATCACGTTTTTGCTTCCCAAGGAGGTAAATCATTTGTTCTCTCTACCTTTTCTCAAAACTTCTGGATCATTAATACTGGAGCTACAGATCACATTTGTTGCAATCTCTCTTCCTTTACCTCCTACAGTAATATTCGGCCTATCAATGTTTCCCTACCTAATGGAAATTTTGTCACTGCCTCTCAATCAGGAACCATCCATTTCTCTGATTCCTTTTATCTCTCTGATTTTCATTTTAATTTGTTGTCTGTTACCAAACTTACTGCCAGTCTCAATTATATTCTCATTTTTCTCAAATCTTCTTGTTTGATTCAGGACTTGACCAAGTGGAAGACAATTGGTTCAGCTGAAGTTCAAGAAGGATTATATATAATGAAGCGTCAGGAAAATCCATCTCTTGCTCTTGCTTCCAGAACTCATGTTAGAACCCATGATGCCAACTTCTTCGACTTATGGCACTTCTGTCTCCTGGATCTCTTCAGCGAATTCATAATAAATTCCCCTCAATTCCATGTAATCTTTCTTCTGCTCATTGTGATGTATGTCATTTTGCTGGACAAAGAAAATTACCATTTCCCACTAGCACTTCTCGTAGTGCTCGTGTGTTTGATTTACTTCATGTTGATATCTGGGGACCAGCTCCTTCCATTTCTGTTCATGGACACAAGTATTTTTTTTGTCTATAGTTGATGATTTTTCAAGATACACCTGGGTCTTTCTCATGAATAACAAGTCTGAAATTCGGTCTTTGTTACAAAATTTTATTACTCTACATGAAAAGCATTTTAATCTTTCTGTTAAAACCATTCGATTTGATAATGGTTTAGAATTTGCTATGACAAATTATTTTGCTTCTAAAGGAATCATACATCAGACTTCCTGTGTAGAAACTCCTCAACAAAATAGTGTTATGGAAAGAAAACACCAACATTTGCTTAATGTCACACGAGCTCTCTTATTTCAATCTCATCTGCCCACAGCTTACTGGTCCTATGCACTTAATCATGCAACTTATATCATTAATATGCTTCCATCTCCTTTGCTGCAAAATGTTGCTCCTCATGAACTCTTTTTTCAACAACCACCTGACCTCTCCACTCTAAGAGTGTTTGGTTCCCTTTGTTATGCTTCAACTATAACATAAAATCGTACAAAATTTGATTATCGTGCTCATCAATGTGTATTTCTTGGTTTTAAACCGGGCACTAAAGGCTCTGTTCTTCTTGATATTAAAACTAGACAAATCCTCGTGTCCAGGAATGTTGAATTTTTTGAATCCATTTTTCCCTTTCAAAAACAAACTATTTTATCCAATTCATCTCCTATATGTCTTCCTCAAGAACAACTACTTCTTGATTGTTCTAATCTTCCATTTCACTCCCTAAAATTACCCTCTACTTCTGTCATTCAACCATCAAATATTGAGCCATCAAATCCTGTCCCTCCTTCCATTACTGAGCCATCAAATCGTCATTCCACAAGAGCAAGAAAATCACCAGCTTACCTTCAAGATTATCATTGTTCCCTCTTAACTTCAGCTTCGTCTTCTTCCACTAGTACAAGCAAATCAGGTATTCTTTATCCTCTTTCCTCAGTTTTGAGTTATGATAAACTTTCTCCTTCTCACAAACATTTTAGTTTGTCCATATCAGTTGACTATGAACCAAAAACTTATGCTCAAGCCATTAAACATGATGAGTGGAAACAAGCTATGGCTGCTGAGATTGGTGCCTTAGAACAGAATAAAACCTGGATTCTTACTGATCTCCCACCTGGAAAAACTCCCATAGGCTGTAAATGGGTTTTCAGAAACAAGTATAAGGCAGATGGCTCACTTGGTCAAAGGAAGGCTCGTTTGGTTGTCAAGGGTTATACCCAAGTTGAGGGAGTTGATTACTTAGACACTTTTTCTCCTGTTGCAAAGATGACCACAGTGCGTTTATTATTAGCTATAGCAGTAGCAAAGAACTGGCATTTGCATCAACTAGATGTTAACAATGCCTTTCTTCATGGTGATTTGAATGAGGAAGTTTACATGTCTCTACCCTCTGGTTTTTCATCCTCTAAACCAAATCAAGTTTGCAAACTTCAAAAATCCTTATATGGTATAAAGCAAGCTAGTCGTCAATGGTTTGCAAAGTTATCTACTGCTCTTATTTCTTATGGCTATAGAGAGTCCAGATCAGATTATTCTCTCTTTGTTAGAAAAACTAATGACTCTTTCACAGCTTTACTGGTTTATGTTGATGACATTATTTTAGCTGGTAATGATCTTGCTGAAATTCAGCGAATTAAAACACTTCTGGATGATGCTTTTAAAATCAAGGACCTTGGTGCTCTCAAATTTTTTCTGGGATTAGAAGTTGCTCGATCCAAATCTGGAATTTCTTTATGTCAAAGAAAGTTTGCTCTGGAAATTTATATGATGCTGGTTTTTTGGTTGCTAAGCCTCTCCGATCTCCACTAGATCGACATGTCAAACTATCTCAGAATGTGGGCACCCCATTGGCTGATCCCACTGTTTACAGGACTCTTGTAGGCAGACTTGGTTATCTTTGTGTTACTCAGCCTGATTTAAGCTTTGCTGTTCAATAGCTCAGTCAATTTGTTTATGCTCCTACTCATGAGCATCTCAAGGCTGCTCACAGGGTCCTTCGTTATCTCAAATCTTCTCCTGCCAAAGGATTATTTTTTCCTTCTTCATGTGATTTCCAGCTCAAAGGATATTGTGATTTCCAGCTCAAAGGATATCTCAAATCAGTTACTGGTTTTTGCATTTACTTAGATCATTCCCTTATTTCTTGGAAGGCAAAGAAACAAGCCACGGTGTCACGCTCATCATCAGAAGCAGAATATCGTGCCTTAGCCTCTACCGCTTGTGAGATACAATGGTTATTATATCTACTCCAGGATCTTCACATTCCACATCCTAAGCCTGCAAATCTATTTTGTGATAACCAGTCTGCCCTACACGTAGCTGCAAATCCTACTTTCCATGAACGTACCAAGCATATTGAAATTGACTATCATATAGTACGTGAGAAAGCTCAAGCAAGCACTCTTCATCTTCTACCAGTTCGCTCCATAGATCAAGTTGCTAATTGTTTTACTAAAGCACTCTCCATTGAAGCTTTTTCCACTGCCATTTCCAAGTTGGAAATGATTAATATCCATTCTCCAGCTTGAGGGGGGTGTTAGAGTATAAATATCTAAGTATAACTAATTTATAATATTGGTTATATTAGTTAGATTAGTTCAGTTAGAATAAAACTGATTGTATAGCTCACGCGTGTAGTCCTTTTCATACTCTGTATATATATCCAAGATGAAATAATAGAAAAGTTACTTTCCCATTCTTATCACCATGTTCACTCCGTAACATGAATTTTATGAAATGTATTATTTTGCTTCTATTTATATCAAAATACTTAAAAAAAATTTTAAAATGCCTAAAAGCCTGCGGGCTCTAGACTCTACTGCTCCCTTCTTTTTTCCCTTCCTCAGGATCTTTTCCTCTCACATAAGTCATCTTCCTCTTTTACTCTGATTTTTCTTTTAAAATGGGTCACTGATACGTCCTTCTTTGCTGCCATTATTCATGTTCCAGGCATGCTACTTGTCAATTTGTGATGCCAAGGGTCATAACAATTGATTCTCACATAATTTTCATTTGGCACAAATCGAGCTTCATTAGCAGACTCCATTTTCCTTATGAGTTGTCGTCAACCGAGGCTGGAAGAAGAATATTCACAACAAGAATCATCTTACTGTCGTTGATTGCCAATAAAAATGAAGAGAGTAAAAGACGTGCACCTCTGGTACAATTTCTTATTTGTTTTGTAAGACGTGTTCATGTGCTTAGTTTCTCTTTAAAAAAAAAATTAAATTAAAGGGGTTAGTACTAACAATTAAGAGTACGATCAAACTTGCAACCTTCCACTTATAAGAAAATATCAATGTTATTAGATTACGAGATACTTCTCATGTGCTTAGTTTCCTTCTCAACAGTTGTCGTCTCTTTTCTTTTATAAAATACTTTCCCCACCGCGAGTATTACAAGTGGTTGTTGGTCATGGTTTGTGTCAGTGGCCTGCATCACTAAATGGACTTTAGGATATAGCTGGTAGCCCCAGCCCGCCAGCCTGCTAAAAAAGGCGGGTTTGGGTTGGCAATATGCCAGCCCGTCAAGGTGCAGGCTATTCCAACCCACACCGTTTTGAGCCCGTTCTGTACGGGATGACCCGCTTTTTTTTATTTAACTTTTTCATATAATTCCTAATATAGTTAAAATATTTTGATCCTCAAATTCCACATGAACAATTAAACATTGCTTCTTTCATATCATTGCATAAGTAATTAAACACTTTATATATTTTGATCCTGTGTGTAGTTATACGAAGATCATCGTCCATCTTTTATTTTTCATTTATTTGTTGTGTCACTATAAAAGCCTTTATAAAATTAAATAAACATGTGATACTTATACATTTATACATAAAATATCTACTTAATTAATTTGGATAAAAAAACTAAATTACTTTGAATAAAAAAACTAGTTAAATTAATTATTTATAAAAAATATATTCTTAAATTATAAATTAATCTTCATTTTATTTTATCATAACTCACTATTCAAATTCAAGATTCAAAGTCTAATTTTAACATTTTAAATTAAGCTCAACCTATATTAATAATAATAGTTTTTATTTAAAAAAAAGAATATGTAGGCGAGCCAACCCGCCTTGACAGTTTTGCCAGCCCGCACTGCCACGGGCTGGCCCGTATCCGTACCGCCAACCTGCATTACCACCTCTACTTTAGGATGATTGGCGGGGCGGGAGGTGACCCATTGAATTTGTCATTAATTCTTAAATACCTTGTGTGTTCATGAATAGGATAATAACTTGGTTACTTATAACTGCATTAGTTGATGTTTTTATTACTACTTAATATGAAAGTTAGATAATTAGTTTAGAAAAAATAAGAAAATTAGTGAACAGTAAAAAATTGTGTGTTTTTCTTAAACCAGGCTTTTTAATCAAGTACGACATGCCCGTTACTTAATGTAAGAGCTAGTTGACTAATTTGAGTAGATTAAAAAAATTAGTTAAGTTAGTTATTTGTAATAAATAAATATTGTCTTCCCTTATTTATAATAAATAGATGTTGTCTTTCTCAAAACAACGTTGCTAATAATATGTATTACCTATAAGTATCATTTGATGAAATCTACACGTGCCACTATTATAAAAACTACTTTGAGAAAAAATAGATAAATATGATAGACAAAATAAATTGAAATTTTGTATCTAGAACCAAATTGAATATCAAATTAGCTCTTATATTAAAG